ATCTGACACTGAATTTTGTGGTCAGGACACAGGATAGGTTTTCTTCTGATGACTCTTCCATGAAGGTCATATTTGTACAGGTGTTGCAGCACAGTAGAACAGTACCGCCACTCCAGAGTCTGATAAATCTTCCTGCAGGTCTTTTGCAGTCAAACAGGGGTTTTGATTTGCCTTTGTAGCAATCCTGCAAGCAGCTCTCTCAGATCATTTTCTTCAAGACCTCAACTTGACCTCCAAATTTCCTGTCAACTGCCATTTCCTAATTACACTTTGCTATCTTCTTATAGTCTTCTCCTGCTTTGTGGGCATCAGTTATTTTAGTTTTCAGAGTGCTCGGCAGCTGTTAAGAGGAGATAATGGCTGCTGATTGCTGGGACAAGGTGTCAAGAGTTAGAGTATATATAAAGCTTTGAAATATGCATCAGCTGGCCTTTCCTAATGATGACTGAACAAGCCAGAGCCCTGACAAGCTAATTAAGGTCTGAGACAATTTTAAAATTTGTCTGAGGGCTCAAATGTCAAACTTTTGCATGGTGCTGCTTTCCTTTATTTCACTCTAAAATTGTACGAAATGAAAAATAATACAGTAATCTTGCTTAAAATGTTGAAAATAATGTTTCAACTTTGACTTAACTATTTACAGCAAAAGAAACTTTGACCATGGGGTTTATATGTCCATATTTATGGTGAATATTTTCAGTATAAAAAAAAATCTCTGGGCAACCAATAATTTCAAAAAGAAAACTTGTACACACTCAGAAGCAGATGCTCTGGACAGAGTCTACAATCCTGATGGACAGGCATGAAAGTGGTGCAATAATGAGACAGGCAACAAACACCAAGTTCCATAAATACAGTCAAAAATAACATATCTTAAAAAAAGGCTTAATATTGAGGGTTTTCCATCAAGGACACTTTATTCGATGTTTTCTGACAGAAAAGTTGAAACCACTGATTTACAGCATCATGACTTCTCTAGCAGTGTTAGACTTGGTTAGAAATATTCAATCAGAAACAGGACAGATGAAACAGGACATTTGATATGCAACGGACACAGGATTGCTAAAAAAAAAAAAGAGTTTGTTAAGCAGCATTATTTTCATGTTCAGATGTTTTTTTAATAATAATTGTATCCCAAAGGCAAACAGATTTGTTAGAGATGGTGGCCTGGAGGAGATGCTCGTGGTATAGTGCAAACAAAATATACACAATTACTTAATAGAGTCCAGATTTACCTCTTAAGAGTCTAGGCTTAGTTCTGTGATGCTTGTTAATGTGCAGCGAGCATTGTACCTAAAAGAGAAGTCAATAGGACACTTCCTCCTTGCAAAAAGTCTATTACAGAGTGACTATCTCAGAGGAATAAACCGTTCTGTGATTAATTAAGTTTTTTTGATTTACCCATCGGCAGCCTTCTGGGCGAAGCAAATCAATTATTTACAGATGTCAGTGTCAGAGTGAAAAACAACAAACAAAAACAGCACCAGAGGAGAATCTCACGGCGCTTCCAGTTAGGAGTCCATCACGTCTCATTAAGGCTCAGTGGGGGGGACACTGGGTCTATACAATGCCAAGAAAAAACAAATCAACCAATGCAAACCATTAGAAATATGTGCCTGCCAACTCCAGTATGAGAATGGTATCTGTCTGAACTACTTTTCTTACCATCGTACAGTGCAGAGGCCTTTTTAGAAGAGTCCGTTGACCTGTTCAGTCTCAGGGTCCAGGTCGATGTCGTAGAAACAAGGCCTGGTGGGCAGACCAGGAATGGTGGGCATCTAGGAGGAACAGCAAGGGAGAGTAATTTTTAATCAATAAATAAATAAACAGGAATTCCAGGTGATGACATAGAGACGAATTGCATTATTGGTGCCTTTAAAATTAGTAATATAGCATCTCTTGTACAGCACATTTGAGCTAGAGCTGGAATGATTAGCTGCTTAACTGATTCGTCAATTAATCGTTCAAGTTAAGTATGTAAATTTATTTTTTAAGAAGTCAAATATTTGCTGGTTTGAGTGTTTTCGATGTGAGTATATCCTCTTTTATTTTGAAATTCTTTGAGTTTTGGACATTTAAAGATGTCTTCTTGGGGTCCAGGAAATAGTGACACAAGTTTTGCTATTTTTTCCAAGTTTTAAATGTTAAATAATTTACGGTGTAATTTTTCAAGTAACTGATAGTAAAAATAATTGTTAATTGTGTCCCTGGTTAGGATACCTTGCTTGCTAATTCACAGTAGCAGGTGAACCTTCAGCAAACACAGCTGGTGACGTGTGTTTGAGAGAGAGTGACAGATAGAGAGGAGGAGAAGATGGAAGGTGGACTATTGTACTCAATATTTCTGTAGGTTTTACTCAGAATGCTGCTTTGTTTCTCAGCTCACTGGCTTATCCTTAAAGAATGACCCTTCTCAATTCACTAGTTAACGAGCTGAACTGCACGTTTGGCCGTGTTTAAGTTCAGTGGGTGGGACTATGCGACTGAAGCTCTGGTCGAACACTGTGAGTGAACGGTGCATTTCCAATGATCTGTTCATTGAGAGTACTGCACAGTGAACATGAGCCCAGAGTGAGTCGCTGAGTTGCTCATGACCACCTTCCTTTCCTGGAAGTC